GACATTTACCAGTATTTGTTGACATACGCAATAGTTATCTAGTGAATGTTGACATGTCTGATAATATATTATAATAATATAATCAATAATTTATACTTACTTATAGACTGAAGTATTTGTTCTAACTCCTCTTTTGTTGCTAGTTTTTCTATTTGTTCTCGTGGAAGAGAAGATGTCAAAGGAGTAAATACCTCTTTGTGTTTTAATGCCAAACATAGCTTCGTATGGCGTTTGTTTAATACCTTGATGATTCGTCGTGTTTTTTGTAAATTGGACAAATGCTAATGCTTCTGTCGCTTCTGACCATTTTGTAGTGTCATTATCTTCCATCATAGCTCTCAGTATATTTTGGAAATCTTGGTTTGCCCTTTCGATGGATTCTTGTGTTTGGCTGGGGCGTGGTTTACCATGCACAATTTTCACATCATCCTACATTGAACATAGCTCTGATATTAATATAAATTTAAATTCGCCATCTTAGCAAGTTTGCATATCTACCAAGTCTACTTGACACCGCGAATTAAGTTCACGACTTATATAATAGGTTTGATTACAATACCTTTTTTTGGAACTCTTTGTTTGGTTTGGCATTGAACACATAAACCTAAAAATAACATAACAACTTCATAATATGTTATATTTTTGAAATTTTTCTGCAATTCGTCCATCATTCTGGTTCGCCCACGTACGTTGCACCAGCACCGCCCATTAAAAAATTTTGACTTTTTATTTCATCAATAATTAGCACGCAATTAGCATGAATTTAGTTTATCCATAATATCCACAACGTCAAATCGATTTAATCGTCTGTAGTCACTTCGTTGTTTATTTTTTTTTTTTGCTTTAACATGTATAACTTCACTTATATATTTATTATATTTTTCAGTGCTTAAATAAAAACAATTATCTTGCATTTTTTTAGTTAAAAGTTCACTAAACTTTTCATAAAAAATATCTTTTATATTTTTATCCATTATTAAATTGAATTTGAATAAATAAAATACGTATTATGCTTAAACTGTTGCGCTCGGTTAAGAATACGCATCGAGAGTATATTTATTATTTATATTTTATTATTATTATCTAGCAAACGATTTGCTATCAGATTGTCTTATACAATAAAATTACTAACGTCCAAAAGTCTCCAATGGATATTGTGACTGGGCGATAACGACGCGTCTTAATTCTACAAAAGTACAAAATAATACAAAATACCTTTTACATTACAACTTACATCGAGCTTCAAGCGTGGTCAACATACACCGGTGACTGTCAACATTCGCCTACTGCGATCRTACACCTTAACAAATACATCACTCAGAATTTAAAGTTATTATAAACTATATCTGAACAAATAATTTATTGTTATATGCTTTAGGGAATTGATTGCCATAAAATCAAAAATCACTCAAAAAAAAAAAAAAAATTCGTACATAATTAAAAACTGTTAAAGTTAAATGTTTGTTATACTACAATTATAATATAACTCACATAACGTATATAATTGGTATATCATCAATATTATTTTGTATAAATTAATAAAATAAGTAAGTTTAAAATACTTATTTCAATTTCATCTTAGGAAGTTTAATTTCTCGA